CCTCCGAGCGCCAGGCGAGTAATGCTTCCCGACGGTAGATTCTTGGCATACAAGGAGCAAGGTGTTCCTGCGGACAGAGCTAGATTTTCAATGATCTCTCCTCATTCTTTCCTCTCTTCTCGGCTTGCAGGTTGTATCGGAGGGGTTAAAGATTTCGAGACATTATTACGTTAAACTATTCCTTTATATCTTCCTGCAACCTTTTCTATCTGTTAATTTGAACGTATTTTCACGGTATTCTTATCCTTAGGAATGCCTGGGATTAAGACTTCACTGTTGGAAGAGTTTGGCATTCGCTTGTTGACATATGATCTCCCGGGCTTTGGAGAGAGCGATTCTCATCCTCAAAGAAACCTTGAATCTTCAGCAATGGACATGTCGTTTTTAGCAAATGCTTTGGGTGTCAATGACAGATTTTGGGTAATAGGGTACTCAACAGGGAGCATGCATGCTTGGGCTGCTCTTAGATACATTCCTGATAAACTTGCAGGTACGAATTAGTTAATTCCATTGTTCTTCAGTTTAGTGCTTAGATCTCAATGTAGAAATGTAACATTACTAAAACAAACAAGGGCTTGTAAGAATCTAGTTCACATTCAGTAGACCATTGAAATAGTATGCCAGGGAGGGATTTTAAGCCAACTGAGAGAGTGAAAGGAAGAAATGGAGATAGGGATATTGGATGATGCGAATACCCAATTACATATTCAGAGTTGTAATGACACATTGGTAATAGAATCTCTGATACTCATTGGCATCGTTCTGCAGGTGCAGCTATGTTTGCTCCAATGGTTAATCCCTATGATCCAAGTATGAATAAGGAGGAAAGACGACGGACATGGGAGAAATGGAGTAGAAAGCGGAAATTTATGTACTTCCTAGCTCGAAGGTTTCCTACCATTCTTCCTCTGTTTTACCGTAACAGCTTCCTGTCTGGGAAGCATGATCAGATTGATAAGTGGCTGGCATTGTCACTAGGAAAAAGGGTGAGACATTATTTTCCACAATCGCAGTCGATTTATCTTCACAATCCTTCTATTGTAAGGTTTCCTACTGTTCTTCCCCGTTAATTGATGATTACACACCTATGACATTGATATGCTAAGAATGATTTCATGTTTATCATGTTATGACTGAACACAACTATTGCCCGCGGATACCCAATTCATGTTTTGTATTATTTTCATGTGTAATGTGTAGTTCTAGGCACCTATTGTCAGGCTCTTTGCACAAAACTTCATAGTGATTGGTCCAAGCCATTTAGATCCTGAGACTGCGTAGAAAACTTATACAGTGTAAAGCATCACTTGAGATCTTATCATTATTTTTTCAGGATAGAGCTTTGGTGGAGGATCCTATCCATGAAGAGTTCTGGCAAAGGGATGTAGAAGAATCAATCAGGCAAGGTAATCCAAAACCTTTCATGGAGGAAGCTGCATTACTTGTGTCAGATTGGGGTTTCAGGCTTCACGACCTCAGATTAGAGAAACGACGAGTAAGATCCTTGATTTATTGGCTCAAGTCATTGCTAGGTGATGTCCAAGAGGAATTCACAGGCTTCCTTGGTCCTATACACATATGGCAGGTTAGATTTTGATTGCTCATGTTCATATTCGTCAAAATTTAACCTTTCCCCTTTACTAAGATGATATCAATGCCCACTACCGATTATAGTGGCTTCTGCTTCCCCTGAACTGGCTGCTGAATGACGTCTAAGCAATAGAACTCCTACCTTTTCAAATCTTTTCAAATTCTAATTGGAGCTGTCAATTGTAATCTGATTTCCCCTTTTTCCCTCTTGATCTCATATGTTCATTCAAACAGGGGATGGATGATATGGTTGTTCCACCATCCATAACTGATTACGTGCATCGAATCCTACAAGGAGCTGCGGTTCATAAGCTCCCATATGAAGGCCATTTTACCTATATCTACTTTTGTGACGAATGCCATAGACAGATATTCACAACCCTATTTGGAACCCCACAGGGCCAACTGAACAATTCTCGTCTCGATCAGACTTCCTTCGATCAGACTTCCTTCGATTGCGACACAGAAGATCTCAAAGCTCAAACCAACAGTGATCCTACTGCAGATTAAGAGAGACATAGCTGCTGTAGTTCACTATAGATAATGTAAATAGCATACAATTGTTCTGTTGCTTCTCTAGCAGGTATAAAGGGATACAGAAAGTTACAGTTTTCTTTTTCTTTTTCTTTTTTGCCCCATTGCTTTTATAGCAAAATTCTAGTGAACCTGTCAAAGGTGGTGCAAGTTACTCCTTGCAATAGAAGTACAAACAAAGCAGAATTTTGATTTTTAAACTTCATTTACATTTTTGTGCTGCTTGGATGTCCCGTTGAACACAAACAATTGAATAAAGATCCAATTCATTATGCTCCCTAAGTTGTGGTCTCAGTGAGTACACAAGCAAAACTTTTCTCTGTGAAACGAATCTGTTTCATTTTGTTACTCTCCATTGACGATATTGATCAGTTTCAAGATCAAAAGGCTCATGGCTAATTTATTAAAAGATACAATCCAATGAATAGGAGATGAAGTAAAAAGAATGGAAGTCAGACCGACTCTCCTGGAAGTCGTCTCCTACGCCCAGTTTCATCAGCCTCAACAGCATCAATAACTGGGGACAGATAGTCAAAGAAGATGATGAAATCTAGATGACAAGAAACTGAATGAATTCAGATGGAAAAAGCTCCTTCGACTCCATCTTGGGCTGCCAAAACCCTTCAACCTGAGTCGAAGGTAGCGGTCGTCGAGACTTGTCTTTGACCATCATCTTCTATCTGTATGGGAAATGAACGAGTTTGTAGGTAAGATGGCCCTTGCCTCACCCTCAAGAACGAGTTTGTCACCATTCCTCAAACACTCCGTTTTAAATTTCGCCCTGAAACAAATTCAGCAAGTACCTAACTCAATGAAATGACAACTACAAATTTGAATCTGAGAAGTTAAGAGTTTTGCCATGAACAAGCTTACAGATATCTCTTCTTATTTTCTCTAGGGCCGATTGCCTATACCTGGCCAATGATCTTCTCTCCAACATAGACTGATAACTTGAAATTCAAGCTTTGCGACACGTAAATAGCTCCCGGCTACAATCATCCTCAACATATACCATAAATCAGAGCATCTAGACCATACATTAAAACAGCTTAAACAGAGCGCAAAACAGTTATAAGTTGTAAGAAAGATTCAGGTGCCATTTCTCAGTCCCCTTAAAATTCTATGGTATTAAAAGAAACTCAGACTGGCTTGCTAAACTTACAAAATGGGCGGAAATGATATGAGGGAACATTGAAGCAACAAGCATCCTGCGAACAAGACAATCGTCGAACCCAGCACGTCGGGCTAATTCAGAATCAAAATGCAGAGGATTTGAGTCGTGACTCACCTTGGAGTATTCCAACACATCTTCACTGGTGAATATTCTAGTATGGCTCAAGATATCTCCCATTTTGAGCACATTCGAAGTTGAAGAAGAGAAGCATTACAAAGAAGAAGAAATATAAGTTGAGAATAAACCTCTACTACTTAGCATACTTGTAAAGGCCAGTAAGTATCACTCAAATATGTTGCGCCTTCGACAGATGTCAATTAAAAAATTATATGCAGAAGAACAAAACTTCAATGGGAATGCAAGGCCTTGTACCTAACAAAATCCTCAAAAAAAAACTTGGACAATATCCATTGTTTCAATGATAACATTGGTACAAACAGGGTAAAACCTAAACAAAATGATGCAGCGTTCTAATATTCCAAACAATGGGGAATTGGGAGATATACAGCTCTAAAAGATATGGCTAAGAGAAAAACTAATTCAATCAAGCAGCAAAGCCAACTTTCTTAACTGACCATATACTTTAGAATCGAGAAAACTGGTACAAAAGTAATATTCTCTTCTTTTCTTTTGTTATCTGCTTAGCTTACAGGATGCCAATTCTTAACCCAATCCGCCAGAGTTTCAACATTTCGAGCTACATCGTCTACAGTGTCACTCCTTAGAGCCACCACTATGTTCTCCTGATAGCTTTCTTTAGCCTCCTCGAGCAATATCTGAAAGATTTCGCATTCAATATTGTTCGAAAGCTTGGCGCCTTCGTATCCCCTGAACCACAGACAGAATCCCACAAACGTCTGAGAAGAAAGCCAAAATGGACAGACAAAATACACAAACAGAATAATCATACACATGAACGCTTTAATTTTGTTACCTCTTCGTCAAGCGGTCATATAAGATAGAGTTTTCAGTCTGAAGCACAACCACGCGATCAAACCACCGCTCAGGAAAAAAATCACAGCCGTGATGGTCCACAATGATTCCGCCTTCTTCCATAAAATCCTCCAACTCATCGCAAACCTGAGTAATTTAATACACCTTCGGGTTAGCATCAATCTTCAGCCAACAACAGGAGGATGAACCAGCAGGTACTAAAATAAATCAAATAACAAGAAAAGCAGGAAAAGAAAAAACTAACCAGATCTTCGTTAATGATATAACACTGGAGTTCGTCATCCCAGCCATCATGTAGATTCTTCTCCTTCACAAGGTCTCCGATAGCGACATGACGGAGCTGAGCGGCGTCTGCTAAAGCAGATGACGTTGTTGTCTTACCGGTTCCCGGAGTTCCAGTGATCAATATGTTCGGCCTTTGCCTCTTCCGATCTTGCGCCATCGGAGTAATTCCGTCCTCCACCTTTTATTGTAATTCGTCCGTTAACGGTGCGCTTGCTTTTTAGTTTTCTAGGGTTCTTCCTTTCTGTTCTCTTATTTCTCTAGCTTGATCCTCTGCTTCGACGTTCCTGTAAGATAATTCTGTAACCAATCAAAAACTGCCACGTCACCATATCTAGTTCACTGGGCTTTCGGCCCACTTACGTCTGAGAAAATAATAATAATAATAATAATCAGATCTATCAGCAATAAATTTAAATTTTACCTTCACCTACAGATGAGTGAATTTAACAAATTTAAAAAATTCATAAATTAAATTTGATAAAATAAATTAAAATTTCAAGGTATTCAACATCGGGCCCCAACGACGCTTTCCAGATCGACCGGGATCGTTGTTTCAATTGCATATTGCGAACTCCGGCCACCAATACTGATCTTTTCTTCCATTGAATCCACAGCACTAGAGAAGATCCAGAGACCACATTCAACCATGAAATTCCATATTTCATCTGCAATTTTGTCTTTCTTGTTAATTTCTCTTATCGTTCTAAACACAGCTTCTCTCTGCAAATCTGAAGTTATAACCCTAACCGCGGACACCTTCTCCGACAAGGTACCGTTTTCAAACCCTAATTTACTCACTGAGGTCGATTTCTGTATTCTCTAAGTGGAAAATTTTGTCTGCGAGGGAATGACTCTCTTGATTTTTGAATCTTGTTTGACGATTCAGTATGTTCTTTTTATAATTTTAATTGATGTTCCTATAAAATCGATGATGCATGGTTGAATCCAGTTGTTTTTGTATTCGAGTTACTCTATGAGTTCGTTGGATTGGAGCGATTCGTCTGGGATTGGTATGGCTACTGTCAGCCGGGATGTCGCAGTTTGGGATCCGCAAGAACGAACTGCGGCCGTTCGAATAAAAAAGAAGAAGAAAATTTGATACTATTGTCTAGAATTGTCGAACTTTATTCTGAATATTATTGTGAACATCCAATGACAAATGCAGTAGAAACTAACTTCTGGTCTTGGTTTTTGATCGGATTTCGGGCAAACGGGGGTCAACAGTTGAGATCAAATTACTTGCTCGTGGGGATTGAACAAATTTGATTAGTGTAGGTTGTTAAGCAGGACTATGATTGGACAGATTTAAGTTTGTTGTTCTTAGATTTAGTGACATTGGTGAAACTTGTTAGGAAGGCTCATAAATGGTTAATAGTAAAGTGCATAGAGGGTATGCGTTCATGTCATGACGACCGCCTAATTAGGATTTAATGTACTCTGAATTACCTTTGCAATCAAATCCCGGTGGATAAAATAGTTGTCTCTTGAGAATAATCGAGTTGACTTGGAAACTATGGATGTCATGTCATTTTGAGTTTGCAGGCTGATGGAACTCTCACCTAGTTATTGATACGGTGTCGTCCATTATAACTTTTCATTGAAGATTGGTTAAATCAGCTTTCATCTTAGGCTTAAAGCTTTGATCTTTGGCCTAGATGATGCATGGTTGGTTATCTTCCCTTCCGTTTATATGTTATACCTTGATGGATTTTCATTTTTCTTCTTATATCATCCAACATTGATTAATCAAGTATTCAAAATAACAGAACCAACATTTGAAATTGTGAATTCCGACTAAGATATGATTTCACTGAACTTTTTAGTACATTCCTCATCGTAGAAATATGTACTTTTCAGGTAAAGGAAAAAGATACCGCATGGTTTGTGAAGTTCTGTGTTCCTTGGTGCAAGCATTGGTTCGCATTCTTTCTTATCGTAGTTTCCTGGTTTTTATCCTGTCGGTAATCGAGTTCATATTGCTTAATTACCTGTAACTTAAATTGCAAATTTCAGCAAGAATTTAGGATCATTATGGGAGGACCTGGGCAAGACAATGGAAGGCGAGGATGAAATCGAGGTCGGAGAAGTTGATTGTGGTTCTCATAAATCAGTCTGTTCTAAAGTTGATATCCATTCATATCCTACATTCAAGCTTTTCTATGAAGGGGAAGAAGTTGCAAAGTATAAAGGTGAATTTTTCCTCCCCTTTTTGTTACCCTTATTGTCTATGTGAACATATGTGTTCCGATTTTGCTTCTACTTTGGCAATTTATTTAATGAAGCTTTGTCGTCTTTGCGCATTCTTCACACGTAAGCACACATCAATTAAAAAAGATAAACTCATTGGTCTAATGAATCATGTTGAGCTTAGTTCAAAGTCTTATTAAACGTTGCCAATTTCCAGCCTTCAAAATTTGATGATTAGCAAGTTACGATATATTTGTTCATATCGACATGTCAGTTCATTCACCTCGTGGGTCTGCTATAGATGATTTTTGTTTACCAATATCAGAAATCAGAATGAAATGCCTCATTTCATTATATTCTTGGATCCGGATGAACCCTGATATAGCAGCTATAATTTTATGATGACCCAGGGCCAAGAGACGTAGAATCTCTCAAAAGCTTTGTTCTTGAAGAAGCTGAGAAAGCAGTGGAAAAAGCACAGCAGGACAGTGCTAAAGAATTGTGAAGAAAAAGATAAAGAACAGCGATTATATTGGTAGGGAAAACTTTTAACTTATTCACAGGAGTTCTTTCTTACCCATTCCCTCGAAGATTTGATAAACATATTTGATTTTGACAATCAGATAGATTCCTTTCCATGCTGTGTTAGACTATAAACGCTTGAAGCTTCTTGCAATGTTCTTAGAAGAATGCTTAAATTTGGATGGATAGATTTTGACCGTAATCTCAGTGACATTGTTTTCTGCCTCTTATGTTTAGGCTACTGCCTTTTGGTTGGAATATGTGAAAGATATTAAAGAATTTTGTACCGATAGGTTTATTATATATTTTATACCTTGCATTATATATAGACAGTTCATTTGTGGTTACGTTCAATTCTATGTTCATTTCTATCTTACGATCAAAACATGTATTCTTGTTTGAGAGGTCAAATGTTTGAATACTCGTTTTGAGGTACTCAAGCCTTGTTAAATTAACTTGTTGTCGGGCCACACCCGGGAAAGAGAGTGCTCGTTTGGATTCCAATGTCCGCCATTGGTTTTCAAGAGATCCGATTGGGAGAGGAGTGTTAAATTATAAATCAAAATTACCATAATTTTTTTTTTTAAAAAAAAACAATATTCGAGTGATTTTGTTTTTTTTTTACCTGCTTTTTGTAAAATGACGTTATGAATTGGAATTTTGGGAGTGGACCGGGTAGGCAGGTAGCGGGTAAATGCCACAATGTGCTCATGGTGTCGCTACTTTCCGAAACCCAACCTCAACATATCCATCTTCAGTGCACTCTCTATCTGCCAGATTCTTTTTTGGCCTAATTATTTGTGTGTCGTTTACTATAATAACCTTATAGTACAAATTAATTAATTAATAAATAAAACCTTTTTGGACTTTCCATTCATTATTATATTCCCATGTCATTAAAAAAAAAAAAAAACTATTTAAAATTATTTTCAGGTGTTAATTTAATTATATTTAATATTTTCCCCTGCTCGTTGCTTCCTTTCGTATATATGCATATTCCTTTTGGTAGAGGCAAAAAGGCTAATTATTTACTGGATTTTAATTTAAAATTAATTTAATTTTAAAATATTATATTTTAAAAAAGAATCTAAATTCTTTTTCTTTTTAAAAAAAGAATTAAAAATCATACGAAAACTCTCTAGGAAGTGAATATGTAATTTTTAAGCAAATAAATGAGAATTATTGAAATCGGTCCACGCATTTGGCCGGTGTCCAGTCTACTTTAAGAAGGGAAGATTAATACCGTTGGATCAGATCGCTCAATATCTGACGGCTGAGGAATAAACCCTAGTCAGATATGCGCCAACAGTTCTGCTATATATAGTCAAAGAGCTCCACCATTCTTTACCTCCACTTTATTTTTTGTGTAAACCTCGTTTCTTGATTCAGCAGGAGCTTCTTCAATCCGGCTTCTCGATTTTTTTTATATTCGCTGTTTCAGGTTTGATTATATCTTTGCTTGATCGATAGTTTTCGTATATGATTCGTTTGTTCTTTATGCGTGCATGTTGTTTAATCCATTGTTGTATTACGGATTTGTAAGGATGGGTGAATTTATCTAGGTATTGACTTTACGAAGGGGATTTTGAATCGTGTCGTCTATGATTCAGTTTGTGATTCTTTTTAATTGGTTGTTTCGGTCTAGGAAAATTTATCTTCTGTTTCGTGTTCGTTGAACGAGCTGTTTGTTGTAGCAATTACGTTGAGGTTATGAGCGTCGTTGAATAATGTCAAGTTTGTGTGATGATTTGACATTTTTTATGTTAAGTTTTGGATGTATTCTTCGTAAGATTTGTCGAGTTTGTGGAGGAGACGTCCTTTTTTTAATGTAAAAGAGGAAGTTCCAATGACACTGTTTACGGTTTTCATACCATTGAAGATCTACGAACTAGATTAAGTTTATCAATGGATTTAATGGTAAATTATCGATTATATGTCGTTTGATTTGCCTGTATCAAGGATATTGTTCCATAAGCTTATCGTTTGGTTTATCATTGTTACCTTTTTCAGTTTACAAATTTAAAATGGGGAAAGAGAAGGTTCACATTAACATTGTGGTCATTGGCCACGTCGATTCCGGGAAGTCCACCACCACCGGACACTTGATCTACAAGCTTGGTGGTATTGACAAGCGTGTCATTGAAAGATTCGAGAAGGAGGCTGCTGAGATGAACAAGAGGTCCTTCAAGTATGCCTGGGTCTTGGACAAGCTCAAGGCTGAGCGTGAGCGTGGTATCACCATCGATATTGCCTTGTGGAAGTTTGAGACCACCAAATACTACTGCACCGTTATTGATGCTCCTGGACATCGTGATTTCATTAAGAACATGATTACTGGTACCTCACAGGCCGATTGTGCTGTTCTCATTATTGACTCCACCACTGGTGGTTTTGAAGCGGGTATTTCCAAGGATGGTCAAACCCGTGAGCATGCTTTGCTTGCGTTTACCCTTGGTGTTAAGCAGATGATCTGCTGCTGCAACAAGGTAAGGTTACTGTTTCACATATATGGTTAAATTTGATCATGTTAGTGTATTTTGGTTTCGTTTCAAACTCAGTTTGCTTTTACCCTTTGTAGATGGATGCCACCACTCCCAAGTACTCGAAGGCAAGATATGATGAAATTGTCAAGGAAGTTTCTTCTTACCTCAAGAAGGTGGGCTACAACCCTGATAAAATCCCATTCGTCCCCATCTCTGGTTTTGAAGGAGACAACATGATTGAGAGGTCAACCAACCTCGATTGGTACAAGGGCCCAACCCTTCTTGAGGCTCTTGACTTGATCCAGGAGCCCAAGAGGCCTTCAGACAAGCCACTCCGTCTTCCACTTCAGGACGTTTACAAGATTGGTGGTATTGGAACTGTCCCAGTTGGACGAGTTGAGACCGGTGTACTCAAGCCAGGAATGGTCGTCTGTTTTGGCCCTACTGGATTGACAACTGAAGTTAAGTCTGTTGAGATGCACCATGAAGCTCTCCCAGAGGCCGTTCCAGGTGACAATGTTGGATTCAACGTGAAGAATGTTGCTGTCAAGGATCTTAAGCGTGGTTTCGTTGCCTCCAATTCCAAGGATGACCCTGCCAGGGAGGCTGCCAACTTCACTTCTCAAGTCATCATCATGAACCACCCAGGACAGATTGGCAATGGCTATGCTCCAGTGCTTGATTGCCACACCTCTCACATTGCCGTGAAGTTTTCTGAGATTCTAACCAAGATTGACAGGCGATCTGGTAAGGAACTTGAGAAGGAGCCCAAGTTCTTGAAGAACGGTGATGCTGGTATGATCAAGATGGTTCCCACCAAGCCGATGGTGGTGGAAACATTCTCTTCATACCCTCCTCTTGGACGATTTGCCGTGAGGGACATGAGACAGACGGTTGCTGTCGGTGTCATCAAGTCGGTTGAGAAGAAGGATCCAAGTGGTGCCAAGGTTACCAAATCCGCAGCCAAGAAGGCTGGAAAGTGAACCGTGCTTATAAAACCTCAGACCTTCTCGTCTGAGGATTTCAAATGTCCGAATAATAAAGACCCGGTTTCTGTTGGTGCTGTTTTGTATGGTGATCATAGTTGTTGGCATTGGTTATCAGGTACCCAATCTCAGAATTGGGTGCTTGATAGACGGTGGCGCAGCTATGCCCTCTTATAGTGTCTCTTTTTGTGTCGTTCGTTTGGTCCTCTACTTTCCTGGTCAGTCCTGCCTGAGTTCGACATGGTTTGGTTCGTCCAAAGCATTTTCGACATACCCCTGCATACTATTATCATTATAGCTAATATGGTTGCATATTTTTACAGTGGATTTGCGTCTTGATTCTACTTTGAAGATCTTGGTTTATTACAACAAATTAATGTTGATATCAACGGGGACGTAACCTTGTTTAAACTCGAAGGCATGTGAAACGTGGTCTCATACAGTACAGACATTTTAGAGTGTCATATCCGGCCTATCCTCTCTCACGTCCTTTTCTCCGTTTCCCTCTCTTCCTGAATGATTATACTTTGCTTTGTTAGTAAACATGTTCTTGATTTTTTTGCAAGGATTGGAACCATAAACCTATGAAAATTTCGACAATTTAGAGCCAAAACCAACTCCAAAAAAGATCGGAAAGTAAAATTAGAAGAGGATTACATTGAACCATCCAGTAAAGTTGGAAACAAAGGAGAACAATACATGAATCTCCAAATCAGGATTTTGACAAAATATGAAAATACAGATCCGAAACCAACACAAAAAAGTTGAGATTGTGGAATCATGGACAGTGTTTTCGTAATCTAAGCGGCTTTTGCAGCCGAAGTTAATTTGGTTTTTTCACACAAATCATGAAGATCTCCATCTCCAATAGCTTGGATGATGTATCTGGTGAAGCCGATCCCTCCTGTATCGGCACTCGATGATCTTCGCCTTCTCATGGCTTCCCTCCTTCGATCATGATCTTCCATCCTACCACAAAAGCAAAACAGAGTTTACTCGCACAAAACAGAGAGAGAGAGAGAGAGAGAGAGAGAGAGAAGAGAGAAAGGTTAAAGAAACATACTCTGTAGAGAGAGGACGATGAGAGAGAGAGAAGCCGGAAAGACAGAGAGGAAGACCTGGAGAGACGAGCTTGGACGGCATTTCTCTCCACAGTACGACGACGAAGCAGAAGAAGAAGAAGACGAAGAAGAAGGAGACGAAGAAGATCTGTAATTCTCGGGAGGGAAAAGAAGAGATTACAAAGAACGCAAAATTGAGGAATGGGTTTTTATTTTCTTTCTTTACGGTTTTTTTGGGCTTTTTCAGACTTCCCCCCTCCGTCTGAAAAGAATACAACAAAGCTTCATTTCCAATTAATAATCATTTTTTATTTTCTACTTTTAATAAATATAATAAAAAATATATATACTAATTAACATTTAATTATTAATCATTACATAAATTAATTTTAAAAAAAAAACAAATGTAGCTTTTATTAATCTATTAAAAACAAAGAAAGGGTTAAAAAAAAGGACATTTAAAGCTGAATGTTTCGCCAAAACCAACCGCCTATCTCTATAATTAAATGGCCGATGACGTGGTATTTATTGAAGCAGCACCGATCTTCGTGCACCCAATTTCTGTTTTAAATAAAACAAGTAAAACCAATTTATGTCTTGTTAATTCCACTATTACTATTTCTTTTTTTATTGGTTTCAAGTTTATTTTTTACTTTATATTAAAAAAAAATGGTTTTTATTAGACTAATTTTTAGCATGTTTTCTTTATCATTTTCTTATTTCTCTAAAAAAGTTATAAGGTAAAATATTTTCTTTTTTAAGTTTTTGTGATTGAGCAAAAAAAAAGAAACCTAATTAGTATAGATATTTTTTTTAACCATTCAATCCTCAAGATCAAAGATATGATATCGATTCATTTATATACCCTTCATCCGAGCGTGTTCGTTTCATTATAACTCAACTAATTGTACATTGCAATGTCATAGATTTTTTCTTTTTTTTGAGGATTTTCGAGAATAGTACTTTTTTTCGTTTCGATACATTGATTTATATTTTCTATTAAATCACATTCGTCTATACCATTAATAATAATTTGGAATGTAACATACTTGCCATTTTCGAAATGAACCCTATCAAAAAATGCTACGAACTCTTCTTCATTTTCGAGGTAGAAAATGACTAAACAAGAGGGAAAAATATCTTTCAATCAAAACAAAATCAAAAACAAAAACAGAAAACAAAACAAAGCAAAGACCTGAAAATAGATACAGTTTTGTGAGCTCTTTTTACCACTAAAGAACAAGAAAACATAAACACCACCAACAACAAATGTACAATTCAAACGTGCAAGTTCAGAAGATAATAAAATGTTGTCTTGAAGTTGTCCTTTTGCTGTCATACCAGGACGGGCCTCGGACATGATAATGCAAATATTATCATAACCAAGCAGCTGGCATTTAAAGTGATGTCAAATCTCCAACCACAAAAAAGAAACAGATTTTACAATAACAATGAATTTTAAGCTGACTTTTCTAGCTTCAATAATGCATTTCAACTATAAATATGCATCAAACATTACAAGAAGCAGTTGGATCTAATCTGGATGGAATGGGAAGCTTTTCCCTATACAAATTAGAAGCCAAAAAAGGTCTGCAACAAAAGCAAAGGAAGGTTTACTTTGCAGGGGAGATGGCGCCGTCACCCGTTCTTAGTGGGGTTCTGGTGTCGGCATCATATCTTTTGCTAAGCAAACCAACGATTTGAATATCGAAGGAGAAGAAAAGAGATGGGAGGTAACATTTTGGTTTGTGTCATTCTCTTGTTCAAAGTACCTAAGATGTAAAGATTTATTAACTTAAACTTTTGATTCAGTATCATTTCAAACTAGAAATTTCAGGCTAACTCTCCAATGTAATTCGCTTTTTGTTCATTTAGCAGTTCAGAAAATGGGGAGAAAGGTTAAGGAGAAGAGTGCATTTACCTTAATCTTCCCGCTAACATTTTATTAGATTTTATGGTAATTTGAGACTGTTCATGGAATGTTTTTGTGCTTTAGAAACTTTAGATCACTTGCTGATACAGATAATTTGTAAATGGCTGATTTCCAAATGTGAAGGCAACTTGAATGATGAGGAAGCAGTGAAGTATAGTATGGCTGATGAATGCATGGGTGTCTTTGTTCTTTGTTTCTTTCTTGCAGGGTGAGGATACTATCAAATTCAAAATACTGCAATCAGTTAAAGATGTTCCATTAGATGTTCCATTACAAGGGTGGATAGTTTATGTAACAACCCACGCCCACCGCTAGCTAATATTGTCTTTTTTGAGTTTTTCCCTTCCAACTTTCCATCAATGTTTTTAACAAGGGAGAGGTTTCCACACCCATGTTTCGTTTCCCTCTCTAACCGATGTGAGATCTCACAATCTACTTTCCTTCGAGGCCCAGAGTCCTCGTTGACACTCGTTCCTTTCTCCAATCGATGTGGGATCTCACACCCCACCCCTTTCAGTGCCCAGCGTTATTGCAAACACACCGTTTGGTGTCCATCCCTCTTAGAGGTTCAAGGTTCTTGTTAGCATACCGCCGAGTGTTTGGCTCTGATATCATTTGTAATAGTCCAAGCCCACCGCTAGCAGATATTGTTCTATTTAAACTTTCACTTTTTAGGGCTTCCCCTCAGGTTTTTAAAACACTAGGAAGAGGTTTCCCCACCCTTGTAAAGAATGTTTCCAACCGATGCGGGAGGTTGAAAATTAGTTTGTGTAATAAATCATTGATATCTAAATCTGTTAATTCTAACTGTCTTGGTCGAATGATCGACTTTACTTCATTCAAATCAAAGCATGTCAAGCAATAAAGTAGGCAGAGACTAAAAATGAAAAAGCAACTGATTGTGATTATAAAAAAGTCAAGAAAATGAACTCAACATGCACTGAGTTGGATATAAACAGATAGTTCCAAGTAGACATTCCATACAAATCCAATAATAAGTATCTAAGACGCATCTAACTTTTGATATGTCAATTGTTTCACAACTCTTGATGGGAACAGCGATTCATGAAAATGGAACCTGAAATAAACGAGGTAGCTTCAATCTACCATGATCCTTCAGCGCCAGAAGTGGGATTCTCAAAAGCAGCGTAGTTCCAGAATGTTTTTAAGGAGTAAGGTTGGGAGATTGTCACGCCTTCTTCAGTTATTTTTGCTATCTGCAAATGCCAAATTAGATGATGAGAGAATAACGCCAGCCATTGAAGACTATAACCAGTGATCAAAACACAGGTTCCAGAAACTAGAGAGATCGTGGTGGATGTAGCTATAATCAGTGAATCAACATGGGCTAGGCTGGGTTCATTAATATATACATATTTAAGAAACCAAGCTAGAGTTTTTGGGCATGCGCATGATCTTGCTGAGCTTCATTCTTAAGGCATTCCTATTTGAAAAAAATTTCGTACAAAGGTACACAAAAAGACCACAAAAGGAGTTCAAGAACTAACTACAAGAACGGATTCCAATCCAAAAGAATCAAACCAGGCCAATGATTTAAAAAAAAAAAAAGCATGATGGATGGACACCGATAAGGAAACCTCCTCCAATGATCTCTCCACCCTTCTAAAAAACCTATTATTCCTCTCTGGCCAAATACCCCATGAAGCAGCAGCAAAAAAAAAAAAAAAAAAAAACCAAGCATGCCACTGGGTTGGTTAAGTGATCATTAGGAACAAGGATAAGTTCAAATGCCATAGTTGCAAACCCTATGATATTGAAATCTTATGGGTTTCACAACCAAATGTTGGATGGTTATCCAGTGAGACTAGTGGATATGCATATAAGCCGACTGGACACTCACAAATATACATAAAAATGAAAGTGATAAATGTAGCTCTAAAATGATTCAAACCTGGAGCTTGTTGACAGCCGACCTATCACGGTATAAGAGTACCCTCATACATTTCTCCAGCAATTTCACACCTTCTTCATAAGTCAGGTTCTCATGCCACTCATCACGAAGAATTGGCCGTGCAAGGTGGTTGCCAAAACCAGTAGTAACATGGTCATCTTCAAAAGTTACACCTATCATATTAACCTGCATGCAAATGGTAAATTGTTAGCTGATGAAGCATCTAAACTTAAAATTAATTGAATGAGAGGTAAGAGAACAAAAGATCTACCGTGCCGAGATACTTTTGCCCATTTTTTACTCCACCAAGAACAAGTGAGTTCCAAAGTGGGTTGAACTTGTTCCGCCTGTTATACATCACTCGAGTCAAGTAGCTATGGATCTCCTTGGGCCCGAGAGCATTACCATCATCCCACATGTTGTCATACAAGCTGCACCATTCACAATATAATAAGAGATTTCGCTCAACCTCTGTGATTCCCAATCCAGAACACCATGCATTCCCAATGAACAGATATAAAGAAGCGTGAGAGTAAAGCAAACCATCTTAGGCTTACATGAGCTCATCGAGATTTCGCAACAACTCCTGAAAATCACTAATTTCTCCACTTGCACCAAGTAGAGAATGTTTTCCAATAGCTTTGATTCGCTCCACACTCTTATACCGCAATGTGGAACCATAGGAGCCTGTAGTTAAAATATCATATACAAACACAATTCCATTATAATTTGCCAACGCATACATCCGAGATTCAGAATCACTTAAAGAAAGAAACATCACTTCCAGAAGTGTTTTGCTATGAACAAGTAAAAAGTGATAAACAAGCTGACAATCATCAACAACTTTCTTTTGAAACATTGTAGAAAGACATAGATACAATATAATAGACAATTAATGGGATATTGAAGAAAAAGAATGGGTAAGATTTTCCACTGACCTCCCAAATCGGAAACCATTAGAATCCCATCTTTGTATTTGATGGCAACCACGGATGTCCCAGTTACATAGGGATACCTTTTCAACAACAGAAGTTATAAACAAACAACCAGGAGTTCAGATGCTAAGCTGATTCCAAAACCAAGACTTCGCCATTCATTTACCGCTCAACTCCCAATCGGAAAATCTTAGGTCATTAAAACCCCAAAACTCACAATTCTAGAGCATAAAACTTAATGTCTAACCAAAAAGTATCCACGAACGAAAACAGAGAGAAAGAAAACGTACTGTGTTCGTTGAATTGGAGCTTCGGGGCAGAGAATACCATGGTTCGCCTGGTTGGAATCAACGGGCTGCAATGAAAAATCGGGAGATCGATAAATGTTAAAATCGGAATGTAAAGAAGAAAAGGGAACATCGATTTGAGCCGATGAACTTACACTCATTCTCGGATTTGGATTAAGTTTCAGCC